TCAGCTAAGTATAATGCTGCATTTTTCTTTTGTTTTTTACGAAAATGAGGAATGTAAGTGCCTAACTGTGTTTTCTTATTTTAGTATATTGGTGGTCTGATTTAAGCTCTAGTATTCATCCTTGCTGAGTTGGTCAAGAAGGGGAAGGCTTGATGTTCTATTAAAGCAGATGGTGAAGAGCAAGTAACCAGTCTCATTTTTTTCTATTGCTGGAAACAGATTTCTGGAAACAGAGTTCACAGAACAGCAGCACATTCATTATTGAGTGGCAGCTGGACTTTAGCAGCAATAAAACCCATTTCTAGGACAAGTCACAGAAACAGTTAAGAGGCCAGAGCAAAGAACCTTTTGTTTCAGATGAAAGGATGCATAAGGATGCAGAGCTCCTTTGTGAACACATATTGTCTCACATTTCTTCTCAATGCATTATGAAACTTTGTTTCATTGTGGCTCAGCTTCAGCAGAAGCTGAGGACATTCTAACCTAAAATAGACTATTGCCTAGTGGTTAGGGCATTGGACATGAGAGAACTTGGCTTAAACTGCTCGAGGCATAGTCTAGGGCTGAATCTGATTATCCTGCTTGTGAGGTTATGACATAAAGTAGGCAGAAGTGTTGTGCTATGTTCTAAGTGAAGATCTGGACAATAGTGGCATTTCTAAAGATGTGATCTTTCTGCGATGTATTGCGTAGCTGTATGTGGATAAGTATGTATGGATAAGTCTGTATGTATCTGTCTGTCTCTCTCACTTTATCTTGCTCAGCAGTGCAAATGCTCATGACATAGAGAGGGAAACACCTTCACTCGTGTCCATTGCTGACAAAACCAGGCTGCTCTGGACCTGCTCAGAAATAGACCATTCCAACACACAGGGAACTTCAAGATGAGAAAGGGACCAAGGCAGCTGTGGTTATGCAGCAGCTGCAAAGTTTTGTATTGTTGACGTAGCCTTTGGTGCTATTTTCTAATGATTCCTGACCCTAACAGACCTGACTGCTCCCAGGCATCAGTTCCTTCAGCTGTTCCACTTTATAGAATTCCATCTGTCTCACCTAGGTAGAGATTTTTCTGAACTAACATGCAACATCCTCTTTTGGATTAGATACAGCTATTTCACTGAAAAAAAATAGAAAGAAGTCCAGTTTCACTTTATTAAACCATCTCAGAAGGAAATTTAGAGCAACAATTTATATACATTTCAGAAGAACATACTGGATTACATTTTCAGGTGACATAAAATGATCCTACATTAACAGAATTTATCCGGCTATCAACAGTTATGAGTAATGATAGAATTTTACATTAAAAATAGGATAGGATTTCATTTAATTAAAAATGACAGAGAATGCTAATTACCATATTTGGATTGATTTTTCAGTTATTGATTTAATATTTTTCTAAAAAGTCATACTTTTCCTTAGTTTGCTCATGGATTTACTCCAATATCAATGCTATCGATGTGCCAGCACTCAGCATATGCAAGCCAATGCACATAGTCATTCTAAAAATGGAAAATTGTGGTGGGTATTAACATAACTGTCCTAAAAAAATACATTTGGTTTTGATGGTGTTTTAAATTTGAGAAATTAAAATGCCCACATTTAAAACTTGATTGTATAAACAAGGTCTACAGCACTTTATGGCGTATAGATCAAGCTGAAATTTGCAAAGAACTGCAGATTCCCTGACACAGAGTAATGAGAAGTCTGTCCTGCAGCTAGCAGGGGCCAGAACTTCACACAATCTTCATAGCTGACTGCCCCTTCAGGCAATGCTTTTTCAAAATGCACAGAAGTGCCATTTCAGCTTTAATTTATGAGGTGATAGGGATGACCAGTGCCTAATCAAGTTAGGTTAATTGGAAAAATCCCAATGGATATGACCTAGGCTTTGGCTGCTGTTTAAAGGTGATACCTTGACTATGAATCAGGTTTCAACTGTTTGTTGAAATCAGCACTTGTGTAACTGTTGTCTTATTGCATGTTTTAAGTTGAAGTAGATATTTACAAAGCTCTAGATACTCTCATGCTCTTCCTATTAGTTTTAGAAATTGCCCAGACAACAAACTATGAAAATCCACTGCAGAATAACACAGAGGGAGGTAGTCCTAAAATATCTTTCTAGTCACATTTGCTAACCATGGCCACCCCCAAATATGTTTAAGTAGAATACATAGCCTAGTTGGCAAGGGGAAACAGCAGTAGGAAGGTTCCAATATGGATTTGTTGTAACTTCTTCATGACTGCTTTATGTTAAATCTCAGACCCCAAGGAGAGTTCCCTTGAAATTCCTAAGTATGAAAATAGGCTGAGAAAGAAAAAGAGTATATAGAGTAGAGATCCCCCTTTAAAAATTGGTTTAACTGGCAAAATTGTACTCTTCAAGCAGATTAGAGATCTCAAAGGGAAGACCTTTAGTAAATGTGGTACCCAGGATGATTTTAGGTAATGTCTTCATTTTTCATGTGGGCAATACAGTAAAGTCTTACATGCTGATTTACCCTGTTTCCATTTACAACTCTGTATTCCTGTATGAGTAAGCAAATTGGAAAAATGACTCTGAAAATAAGTAAAGCATAGACAATATCCTCTATAAAATGATAATACAACTAAGTGTTAGAAAGAAGATACTGATGAAGCAGGGGAGAAAATAGATAACTAAAAGTTAAAAATGAATGTCTTAAAAGGCGTAAGCATTTTATGTCAAGGCCATTTTTTATAACTAAAAGTTAAAAATTAATGTCTTAAAAGGTGTAAGCATTTTATGTCAAGGCCATTTTTATGCATACAGAGTTAACACATAGTACTAGTTCCTCAAGAGCTTATAGGCTAAAAGTCTAAGTATAGGGTACTGGTGGCCATGTGTGACTGTCCCAGATATCACTGAGACTAAAAAACACTCTAGGTGATTGTCTGTCTGCCCATGAAAAGAGATAAACTGCAGGCTGTATTATTTTGCTGGATTTTTCAAGTGATCAGAAACAAAAATCCTACTAAGAGGCTTCCCAGCTACAGTAGGAATTCCATTCCTTTTGTCATCCATTTAAAGATGAGATTTATTTCCTGATTTCTTGCACCAAAACTGAGGAGATTTCAGCTCCATTTAAACGAAGAGTACACAAACACTGATACAGACTGTGGCAAATGTATAAAGCTAGTGATCTGAGCACACAGTCTACAAACACCATACAGGTTGTGGAAATGTAGGTGTTTGGAACCAGAAAATAAGAATTTACCAAAGCTTAATCTAGTTTAGCTTCTGTTTAGGGAAATATATTATTTAGATTAATTCTGTGATAATGTCCCAAATCTCAAAGAGCAAAACAAAAGATGAACAGAAGATGAGGAAGCCCTGATTAAGCAGCTAAAAGATTTTTATAGAGAATGGAAAGATTGTCAGTGCTTAATCAAAGCTTAAAGTCATCAATTAATGGTCAATGATCAATGAGATTAAAATAATTTTAGTTAGCATTGAAAGCAACAAAATTAATCTGAAGGCAGGCATAGTTTCATCAAAAAAGCGTGAGATAATAAGCAGTTCTGCACTAACATTCAACAGCTGTTTGAGTCTGTATTTGGAAATAGCAAGCATCAGTGCCTTGTGACGTTGGGGTAAAATTAAGAAAAAATTACTGGTTTTAAGAGGGATGTGAGAGAGCACCTGCTAAAATTATGCATTTTCAAATCAGCAGGCTTGGAAACTAGTAATGTGAGAGAAGGAGCTACATAAGGAGTTTTCTCATACCAGTTTATAACAGAACTTCATAATTCAAAAGAAATGAAAGAATGTCAATTCAAATCAAACAGTTATCATTAACATGTTGGCACAGTCACCCATAAAACAGCCTGTAACTGATTACCAGTGAAATAATGGGATCATTAATTTGGAGCTATCATCAATACTGACCTGGAGGCTGAAAATGTAATAAAGACTATCAGTGCCTCTTCATAGAAATTATATCTTGCTAAGTGTTTTTGTTTTGCATTTTTTTTTGTCAGAATTGTAGCTTTGAGTGATAAAGGTTTTCTTTAAGACAATTAATATATTATCATGTAAAGTTACCACACTTGCACCATATGAAAGAAATAATCAAAATCTGATCTTTAATATTGAAGTATTCTTTCCCATATATTAAGGGATATGTTAACTAAAAGTCAGGAGGCATTTTTGACCATGCTTTTTGATGATGAGGCTAGTATAAGTATTCCTAGTCCAGAGGAAGGAGAATATGTAAACATTTGAGGGATTGAAACAAAAAATTGATCCAAGAACCTAAAGAAATGTGCACCTCCTTCAAATAAAAGACATGGGCAGGGCCCTCCCATCTCTCTGGAGACTCCAGACCTTGCCACAAGGAAATATCATGCAACAGATCCCGTCCAAATGCTTCATTTGGAATCTGTCAGCAAGACTTTGCTCTGGGCTAATCGGTTTTTCTACGTTTGACACGTGGGAAAGCATCAGTCCTTACTCAGAAATTTCTGTTGGCATAACTACAAAAGGCTTAGGAAAAAAAGTATGGAGGGGAAGAATTGCAAATAACATCTTCTTAGCATAGGGCAGGGCATCAGTACTGTCAGATGTCTACCAGCGCAGATTTTCCTCAAAGGATCTCCTAACACTTTTCCAAAAGCTGCAGCTGTTTCATGTCTCTGCTTAGCCCAGATTTGGCCTGGCACAGTTCTGTGTTTACTGCAATTACATTTTACATGAATTTTTAAGTCAACTGTCTAGATACCCTGGAATGACAGTAAAACCCATCCAGCAATTCAATGTGATCAATTCCTTCTCTTTAGGGCTTGCTCCTATATTGTGATGTTGTTGAATCAACATTTGTAAAGGAACAGCTACCAAACAGAAAAGTTGATGCCATGGATCATTATCAGAAGTGTTTTGCAATTTTAAAATTATATCTGCCAAGAACAGACAACAGCAGTTACAACACATCAGAGAAATTGGATACGGCAGAAGTCAAAGACTGGAAGGCAATCCGTGTGGATCTGGTCATAACCCCCTTTGAGCAATATGCATATGCTCTGTTAGGCTGGACAGGCTCCAGGGTAAGTAACCACAACAGTCTATGTTTTCTTAGCATTGTTAATCTATTTTTTCTTGTTTCAGGACCATTCAGAGTTCATGGATGTTTAAAAGTGTTCCAGATCTCCACACATCACACTTCATGCTGTCATCAACCCCTGATCATAGGCTGGAGCTGATGAGTTCAACATTTGATGTTTATAGATATCTCTCTAAGAGAGTTATTATCTCTTTTCCTCAAAGCTTAGTGTTTAGGTTCATAGATTGGAGAGCTGGATTTTTAGTCAGTTGTGTTGTCTTTTTACATCATACAACTGTTAACAAGCAAATGAAATGGTTACTGAGTAGAAAGATCATTTGGAAAGTGTCGCAGAATTTCACAGGAAATTAAGCATTTGAGGAATAGATGTTCTGAATTGGAACTTAATTTGTTTTGTAGGAAATTGGAAACAATTTGACATTTTCTTTTTGGATTAGATGAAGTGTTTTGTTTCAGTTGCGTTTTAATTGACTGGTTTAAATTGTAAGAAACTGGAAAAAATTTTGAATTTCCAAATTAATTTTGAACTAAATACATTTTGATTTATGTTTTAATAAGTTAAGAAAACTTGGAGTGATAGCTACTTTCACAACAGACACTGCAGTCAGTCATCATAATATAAAATAGCACACTATTTTCAAAATAAATAGTTCTATCTTAATGCAAACTCAAAACTCAAATGATTAATCTCTCTCCAGACCGAATAATTTTTTAATCTGTTCTACACGTGTGCCTACTGATGTTCATTTTCTTAGGGAGTGATTACATGGTACAATGGAGTTCCTAAGCCTGCTCCGAGTGATCTTTTTGATGTGCTGAAAGCAGTACAGGTGCATTGCCACTCTGTTCTACTCAGGTTAATTGGAAGCAGGATGGTTTAGCCCAGGCAAAATGTTGAAACTGATGTGTTCTCCTGCTGAGAGTTCCTTCAGCCACTTTTCTTTTTTGAGATAACAGAATGTATTTATTTGGACCCTGGATTAAGTTCTGCAGACTTTGGGGTGCTTTATTATCTTGGAAGAATTTGGCTACTTAACAGCCCTTAACTCTGTAGGTGGGTGTCTGCACTGAAAATGCACTGTGTGAGGCCCTTTGGTTGAGCAGGCAATGGCTTAATCTTTCTCTGCCTCACTGAGCTTCTACTCCCTGTTGAGCTAATTCACCTGTGGGACTGCAGGAGCCCATCATGGACTTACTTTCTCATACAATGCCCAACTATTCTTACACTGAACAACCAAAATGATGGCCCTTTCTCTATCAAAACATTGTCCAGGTGATTAATTTTATCAGTCCATAGTCTTTTAAGAGAGGTAATTTTGATGTGCTTATTTGGTTTGGTGTTAGGACTTTTTTATACAAAGGCTAATAATTTTGGTTTGGCAGAATGGCTGATACTTGCTATATCTTTTACAGCAGTTTGGCCGTGATTTGAAGAGGTATGCTTCTCATGAAAGGAAGATGATATTGGATAACCATGGATTATATGATAGGAGAAAGGTACTGTTTATTCTCAGAAATAAAGCTATTGTGGTTTTGTTTCTGAGTCTGCATTTCCAGTTAATTTTTTATATTCAAGTATATAGAATATTTTATCTTGGTTATCTATTTCGTGGTGAAACAGTCCCACCTTCACAAGATGTAGTTTCACTGATGGAGCCCAATTAAATTTGGGCAAATCTGGACATTTTTTGGTATTGATGAGGCAATTTCTGAAATTTAACAAGAAACATACATTAGACAATGGTGTTTGGAAGGAACTGTGTGGCCTGCACAAAGCTGAGAACAACTCATATGAGGGTATCTGAAAAAAGTACTTTCCTGTACCATTTCAGAAGGAATTTCTGTGTCCCAGGAATATCAGCATTTATTGTGCTGGCATTTCAAAAGAAGAGGGCATATTAAGTGGTAAAGGCTCAGATAGAAGGCTTGGGGAAGTTTTTGCAGGTTATGACACTAAGTAAAGATCAGGGATCATCCTGATTTTAAGGCCATGCATCCAGAAGTCTGTGTGATATTCTGTTTAGTCAGGCTTGCCAGTCTGGGTAGTAATTGGTCTAATTTCTAGTATAAATGCTCTTGGCTGCAGTTGTACTGATCTCTGCATTTATCTGGCTTAATGTCTGTATTTGCATTAGGTCATTTAAATAATAAGCAAAAATCAATATTGAAGATGTTTATTGATGTCATTATAGGGGAAGGCAAAAGTACAATGTCAAGATTTCACATTAATCTTTCCTATATGTTCCTTATAGAATGAAGACTGCTTTTAGCATTCCTACTTATATGCAGTATTGTCTCATTGCTTTTTTGTGAGATGCAGCAATGATCTAAGCCATCATTCCATTTCAGTTGTCTCCATATGTGCTTGGCAGGTTCAGATGCTACAGCATCCTCAGTTCACATGGAAACCTGGGGAAATTAGCAAGCTAATCATCCATGTAGTCAGGTATCTTATCTCCAACAATTGTCAATACTAGGTGCTTCAGAAGAAAGCAGAAAATGGCATAGTACATAAATATGCTATCAAATGTCTAAGGGGGAAGTTTCTTCACGATCTCGGGGTTAATGTCAGTGTATTTATGCCTGTCTTTTATGTTTTGAAAGCATTCAAAACCTAAACTCTTTGCTTCAACATAATATGGCAGATATTATTTTCAGGTTAACATGTTGTCTACTAAATAGCTTTTTGGGTGTAACAGGTAACTGCACTAGGGAAACCCAAAGAATTTAAGAAATGCCAGTGTTATTTTTTGTGTGAAGCAAAATTTGCCTGGTTGGTATACCAGTATGGATCATTATGTCAACTGCTTTCACCCAGAACTCTGAGGCATTCAAGGGTGCAAACCAGACACACTTCATTCATGAACAACATCAATCAGTATTTATTTTTCTTTGTCGTGTTTAGGCATTGTATCTAACATACCATTCAAATCCTTCTGGGAAAGAAAATGTGAGTTTCCATGTTTTACACTGGACTAGCCAGGATGTTTCACAGAAAAATGATGAGCTTGACTAGGAGGGAACACACAAAACATAGATGTTTTATCTGTACCATCTCTTAAAATTAGATTTAAATACAGACATAGGTATTTCATAAGGACATTTCTCTTTGTGGTAGGAAGCCTTCTCAAAGCCAAAACCAATCAGGAAGCAGACAGCCTTTGTGCAAGCTGCTCAATATCCCTCAATGTGGAGGAATGGCTATGCAAAATGGGACATGATTTCCTTGGAGCTGACAACCCAGCTTGTAGTACAGTGCAAGGCCTACAGCAGCTGTGACCGAGCCTTGAACCTGCTGATAAGGAGCAAGCTCTGCCTGGCAGAGCTGGCTCTGACTGGCTCTGGGTCCGGTGTCAACAGGCTCCTTGGAATTCCTGGGAAAGTCCCGGAGTGTGGATAGACACCTGCTTGCACCAATCATAAGTTTGCCCTGGACACTTGGACAAGGGCAATAAACCAATCATGTATCCGCTGCATTCACGTACACTGTGTGAATATCTATATATATCTTGTAAGCACTAAGAATAAAGGAGAACAACCATACTCATATTGAGATTCATCGTTACTCCGGGTCCGGATCCCACTCCAACACCTCAACACAACCTTAATTAAGCTTAACTGGGCACCATAGGTAAAACTGAATCATGTTTTCTGTATTTCTCTCCTTGTTTGCTGAAGAGATGTGCCTGGCTCTGTGTAGGCAGACAGACTTTCATGCCTGATTCTCTAACAGTCACTGGGGTATTGACAGGGATATAATTTGGAAGCTGGACCAAATCCTTTCTGTTTTGTTCTTCTTTTATTAGCCTGTGTGTGTGTACGGCACACACAGACAGCAAGAGGCAGGAAGGTCAGGGAGAGTCAAGCCAATTCTCAATCCTGATGAAGACTAAATCCTTTCAGTTCAGGAAGAATATTGAAGTGCTGGAGCAGGTCCTGAGAGGAGCAATGAGGCTGGTGAAGGAACTTGAGCACAAGTGCTGTGAGGAGAGGCTGAGGGAGCTGGAGTTGTTTGGCCTGGCTAAGAGGAGGCTCAGGGGAGACCTTATCCCCCTCTACAACTCCCTGAAAGGAGGTTGGAGTCAGGTGGGGGTTGGTCTCTTCTGCCAGACAACTAGCAGTAGGACAAGAGGGCACAGACTCAAGCTCTGCCAGGGAAGGTTTAGGTTGGATATTAGGAAGAGATTTTTTACGGAGAGAGTGCTCAGGCATTGGAATGGGCTGCCCAGGGAGGTGGTGGATTCACCATCCCTGGAGGTTTTCAAGATGAGACTGGATGTGGCACTTAGTGCCGTGGTCTAGTAACCACGGTAGGGTTGGACTTGATGATCTTTGAGGTCATTTCCAACCTGGCTGATTCTATGGTTTTATGATTCTATGATTCCTTGAAAACACTTGTCTGTTATCACTTAAAATTTTGCAAGATGGTACAAGTTAATAAAACAATGCTATTGCAAATTTGCTTTGATTTTTTTTTTATTGCCTTTTTTGGTGGAATGTAACAATGCTTGTAAGAGAATGTCATTCATTATAAAAGAAAACAGTTTGCTGATTTGCTCTACATTCCAATATATAATTCAGTATACTTTATTCTTCTATATTAATATTTATCAGCCCTTTGGCACTGAAGCTTGCACTGTGGCCTAGTGCCTGAAACTTGAGGCATGTCAGAGAATTCCAGATTTCAGTGCTCAAAGTGTTGCATCAGGAGAGAGTCCTGGTTACTTTAATGTATTTCCAAGGGGATTCTAACAGGAATGAGGAGCATTAACACAGCAGTTAGGAATCAATTACATAGCTTTGCAGAGGGGAACAAAAGGAACAGATATTTTCTCCAGGGACTCGTTACAAAGTTACACTGTGAAATTATTCTTAGGCCTTGATTTCATTTTTTTTTCTTCCTGGTGTGAATCTTATTCATATATTTGTTGGTTTTCTTTTTCATATATTTGTTGGTTTTGGAAGACTGTGCAATTATCAAACTAATGATTTTATTGTAAATCTACCTTTAGTAGGAAAATTGTGATTAAAAACCCTGAAAATTTCCTGCCAATTATCTGTCAGCCTCTTTTACATCAAAAGATGAGTAGATGTCCAAATCTGTGTCTCTTTAGAACTGTGTACTAAAGCTGTGGAAATCAACACATGTACATATCAGGCTGAAGTGTGTAGTTTCTGTGATTTACATCAGTTGGAGGTCAAACCATAATATGATCCTCACTCTTACAGAATGGAGTTCATTGATCAATCATGAGGAAGAAAGAGAAATTGTATATTGTTCATGTCTTAGAGTATTATTTCTGTTACAAATGCCCTGACACTTTTATGAATGGGCCAATAAAATTCTCATTGTAAAACTCTGATTCATGAATGAACAATATGCTCTCTGAGTAAAGAAGAAGTGCTTTTGCAAAGGATTTCATTTTTCTGTGTGAGTCATATCTCAGGTCAGCTGAACAGTAGGCTCTTCCTTAAAAGAGTTAAGGTCCTTAAGCTGGAAACCAGAGCATCACTGGTTGTTTTGATACTCCTCCCTGTTGTCTTGGGGGTTAATTATCCCTTAACACCCTATAAAGAATTTTTGGTTACAACATGCATGGTGTCTAGACTTAATCAGGAGCTAGTAAGAGTGTAAGCTCTGACCTTGTTTATTTCTGTAATGTGGCCATCAGTTCACTGCCTGGAGTGCAGTTTTAGTGTGGGTGCACATATACAGTTTGCCACAGACTGGGATTTGAAGGGCATTTTCTTTGCAGTGATTAGAAGAAGGTTGTGGTGTATGAGGGCAGTTGTTAGCAAGTTTTGACAACATCCTGACAGCATTTTAACTTGGTGAAATGGAGAGTGATCTAGTAGATCTAAGTAAAGATATAACTCTAAACCCTATTTTATTTTTAAATATCTGTCTTTAGGCTGAGTAACTATCATCTGCTTACACAAAAATGCCAGAAATGTGTGATATAATTTTGCTTCATGTGATATTATCTTTAAAGTTATTTTTAAAGTGATTGGCAAACCATGGGCTTTCTATTCTTAATGGAGTTGTCCTTGAAGTATGAGTGCTTCTCCCCTTTTACAGTATCAGCAACCCAGAATAAGACTCAGGAACCACAAAGGTTGTTGGTTGCTCCTTTATCAACTCTGGTGCTGATAGCTTGGGTAGAGTATCTTTGTCATGCAGAAGGGCACTGCAGAGAGTATATGAAGCTGGACTCTATGATCTTGGGTTCTTGCACTGTTCTTCAAGAGGATGGGTAAGACTTACTGTGGAATTGCTGTTCTCCCATGAAATGGGACTCTTGGACTCAAGTGTGTGCTTTACTTCAATAAGAATATTACTTAAGGAAAAGCTTCCTTGTTCACCAGAATAGGAAATGCTACAGTCCAGCTGGCTTTTAAACTCAGAGTGATCTTTAACCTTGAAGTTTGCTGCACCACAAATATAACATCTTATTATCTGTCCATACTCTTTATGCCTTTATTTTTTCCTCTATGATTCATCTCATCCAAGTCTTCATTTCTTCTTATTT